CTGAGGCGTCATTTGGTGACGTACTGTCGAAAAATGACCCCCTACACTCACGATGATAAGTTGATGATTCACTGTTTTCAAGAAAGTCTCAGTGGGGCATCATTAAGTTGGTACACGGACCTAGAAAGAAGCCATATCCAATCATGGAGGGACCTAGCTAGCGCTTTTCTAAAGTTTTACCAGTTCAACCTAGACACTATTCCCACCCGCATGCAGTTGCAAAGCCTTTCTCAGAATGAAAATGAATCTTTCAAAGGATACACACAGCGGTGGAGAGAATTCGCAGCAAGAATGCAACCACCACTATCGGATAGGGAACTGATTGAAATGTTCATCAACAGTTTGCATGGTACTTATCTTGAAAGAATGGCTGGATGTACACCATCAAGCTTCTCTGACCTTGTGATTGTAGGAGGGCGCATCGAAAGCTACCTTAAAAGTGGACAAGTCCAAGATGCCTCAAGCAGTCAGGCCAGTGAGATTGAATCTTTTGACGATTTCCATGAGGAAGAGAAGGATGAAACCGACGCACTTATAGTGAACATTGGGTATCCTCATGATGTACCAGTAAAACTCTGTGGTCCCTCATCTGCTCAACAGACATCATTACCAGCGCCATGTTATCCTTATGGGAAATCAACCATGTCTAAAGCTTCATCCCACAAGCCATGGATTGCTCCTCATGCAAATCAAGGAGCCCATGGCCGAGGTCATCTGAATCAGCGCCGCGATCAGAATAGGCCCAGCAACAACTTGGAAAGAAGGACTGTTCCTCTTCATCCGGTCCCTATGTCGCATAGTCAGCTTCTCCCGCATCTGATTCAAAACTCATTGGTGGAGCCTAAAGCCCTTAAGCCTATGCCAGAACCTTACCCTCATGCAAATCAAGGAGCCCATGGCCGAGGTCATCCGAATCAGCGCCGCGATCAAAATAGGCCCAGCAACAACTTGGAAAGAAGGATTGTTCCTCTTCATTCGGTCCCTATGTCGCATTGTCAGCTTCTCCCGCATCTGATTCAAAACTCATTGGTGGAGCTTAAAGCCCTTAAGCCTATGCCAGAACCTTACCCTCCTGGGTATAATCCCAATGTTCAGTGTGGATATCATGGTGGATCCATAGGGCACTCGACTGAAGAATGCAAAGCCTTCCAAGCCAAGGTGCAACAATTGATTGACAAAGGGTACATATCTTTTCCAGAAGGAAGTTTGGTTGTCCATGTCAACCTCTCAGCTGTCTAAGCTCGACGATTTCAAGGGTCATTTCCAGAAGCCAGTGGTCCAGATAGGAAGACGTCCTCAACATTGGCAGTCCTTGGGCACTTTTATCATTTGCATCTTGTAGTTTACTTTCTGTTAATTGCTACTTGCTTTTTAAACATTGTTATTTTGAATGGTAATATTAATTAAGTGATTATGCATTTTCCGAATCAGTCATGTCGTATTCACTCATTATTTCCACTTATCACATACACATACACTTTTTATCCATTCCACTTCATCATTGTTGTTTTAGCAAAGATTGGAGGGAGGATGACAAAAACGAAATACCCATAATTGCAAACTGTATGCTTTCAGACAGAATCTCGTCAATGATGTACAGGCATTGTTTCAAATCCCCTAAACACCGGAGTTATAAGGAGTTAATCCCTAGTCAACCACTTTGAGCCTAGAAGTAGGAGATTCCTTTGAATTTCTAAACCCTTAACACTTAACCTGGGGCAGGGTAGTGTTCAGTTAATCCAATCCCGCACTCAAAATTCAAATCAAGAAGACGGTTGTTCATCAATGACCCATGACGTGGCAGTCACCATCTTCCAACAAAATCCAAAAAAATCAAAAGCCTGCTAAGTCAAGCACCTCAAAAGGGACTTAGGCAAAAATCAAGGCAATCCCGATGGATCTGACAAGCAAAATCAGTCCATGCAAAAGTTAGGGATAAAAAAAACAAAAGAGGTCCTCAAACCCTCAATAAAAACAAAATAAGATTTAGTGGCTACTCAGCAAAACGGCTTGCTGGTCCCTGTGTTCTCGGAAGTCGCAGGGCATGTCTTCTCTTATTTTCTCTCCGCCACGTCGGGGAGCAACAAACTCTTCATGCCTGGAGGCTTTTGCAATCTCCTAGTTTTGTGAGTCGTGGGCGTTGTTGGCGGTCTCCTTCTCCTCATATTGGATGTATTCTTGGGCCTTATAGAGGAAGTCGTCCAGCATGTTGGGCCTTTCGATACCAATCACTTTGGGGAAATCGTTGCGGGATCGTAACCCTCGCTCGATAAGGTATCTTTTCATATTGTTCGTTATGGATACCTGGACAGCCTCTCGATTGAATCTCTCTATATAGTCCCGAAGAGATTCTTCCTTCCCCTGAATGATAGTTTCCAAGGATGCCTCCGTCTTCGAATGTCGCTGGGAGGCGGTGAAGTGCCTGAAGAACTGTCTTTTCAGCTCTTTCTAAGAGGTGATGGATCCAGGATCGAGGCTCTTGTACCACGTCATCGCGCCTTTCCTCAGGGTCGTCGGGAAGAGTCTGCATTCGATGGCTCCCCGGACGTTGCGGTAATCGAGCATCGCGTCGATGCTCTCAATATGGTTGTCCGAGTCAGTCGTGCCACCGTAAGTCGCAAGACTCGCTGGCTTCTCAATTCCGACGGGGAGGCGAGTCTCCATAATGGCCATGGATAGTGGACCGCGTGGGTCCTTCTCGTCGCTTTTGATTGGTAATTGCGATAGGGAATGGTCGTACTTAGAGCTCCTGTTGCGGTGTGGAGAGCTCCTCGGTCAACTTTTGGGTATCTCTGTTTGTTCATTAGCTTTGTTTCTCTTGGGCGCGGGGTAACGACGCTCTTTCTGGGGAGGACTACGGTCGCATTTCTAGGTCGTCACGGGATGAGGTCTTTCTAGTCGTGGACGACGTCTAGGTCGCCGCAATGAGGGGCTTCAAGATTCGACTCATTGATGTCTTCGTGGGGGAGAAAGGGGGTGTGATTCTCTTCGTCTAGGGGATAGGCTGCGAGAAACTGAGCGCCTATGTCTCCGCGGGAGAGAGCGCGATTATTGTTTCTTTTCCAGCATTTTGATTCATTTGTTTTATTGGAACATCATCAGGTTTGCCTGGTTGATCGTCGCAAACAAGGCCACCATGGTCGGGTGAGCGTTGGGCGGCACAAGAATGGGTTGGAAAACGATCGGACTGTCGAGTCGTTGGGCAGCGTTGTCGGCTGCATCGTTGGAGGAGGGAAAGGCGGTGCGCCCAAGCCTGGGGTCGCCCTCCTACGTGGACAACCATGTCGAGATCATGGTCGTCACAGTTGGTGAAGGTAGTGAAAGCAGTTTCATGGAGGTTATCGTCACACGTGGGTTGGCCATGATCGATGGAAGTTGAGGTATGCTTTGGTTTTGTAATTTTTGAAAGAAAGAACGGGAAAGCAAGAGTTTCCCACAGGCGGCGCCACTGATCTTACCGGACCAAAAAGAGATCAGCAGCCAGCAACGCGTTGTGAACTTTTAGTTCGCCGGTGGTGGAGAAGAGGAAGATGGTGTAACTGCAAGACACTCTATGTCAAAGTGAGAAAAGGGAGAGAGTGAACAAGTACAAAAGCAAGTGAGTTTTGAATATCTGACCCTCTCGCGCAAGAGGGTATCTATAATATGCCTCAATGCTGGGTCAACGATTATCTGTATTGGGTTGGATGTTCAGACCCAATACGGATAACAACCAAGATCTATGTGGCCTAGAAAAGACTAACACGTGGTCTTCGTCTTGGGACAAATGTCCCATGATCTTCAGAAGGTAGGTTCTTTCGGACGAGAGTAGTTGTCTGATGAAGTGTCCCCGCGTGGGGAGCACGTGGAGAAGACGCGTGAGCGCTCTCTGTGTGAATTGAAGGATTGGACCTTACTAGGCCCTTCTCAACAAAGAGTTGAGTTAAACCATGCCCAACGATGGACCAACCTCTGCCCTAGTCTATAACAAATACCTTATCAAAACAAAAAAATTTCAAAATATATAGATTTCAATTGAATCATTTTAATCTTTTAAGAATTCAAAATTGTTTAGAAATTTCCAATTCTCTCATCAACAATAACACTATATGGTTATGTGTATCGAAACACATTATAAGACATTCTATTGTTTGGATTAATTAAAGATGATGAATGAAGCGCAACGTCATGGAATAACATTTCAACTCAATCCATCACTTTCCTTCACTATTTATACCATCTGGTTTAAATCTGACCCGTTACATTAAAACATAGTCTAAAATATAAAACCTTAAACAAATTTGGCGTTTTTATGAAAACACAATGATAAAAGTAGTTGAGCAAAACCCTACAGTTGGTTGGTTAGTTTTCAGAAATGAATCCTCTTATGAAATTTCTCACCATTCAAAATGAGGAAAAAACATACAAAAATCTGAAAAATGATAAATTAGACAACACTCTCGGATTGCTCCACACTTCCAGTTGCCAATATCCATCCCTATCAAAACTCAGAAAGTTAGTAACACATGCATGTGTTCATGCAGGAACAGAACCAGCAAACATAGAATCCAGTATATAGAAGAAAAGATGTCAAAAGGAAAAGAAACATGGATTGTAGAGTGGAAAATGACAATCGTATTCATAATCCAAAAAGAATAAGCTAGCTATCCTGCTAGAATCGTCGAGATGAGAAGACATTATAGAACATACAACATTATGAATAGAAAGCAAGAAGAATATCCTCCCACTGATTCACGGCAATCATCGGAGGTTCAACCATAAATATCAAAGCCTCCAAAAAATCCCAGCCAAAACGCATTTCCTCTTTCCATCTCTCAACTCCTGATTTCTTATGCACAGAATCCACCCTTTTTCAAGATCGATATTACACTTACGCGACCAAGAATGTGTTATCTTTCTCTTCCTTCAAAAATAAAATGGCAACTTCTACTGGTCAGTGCAATAAGATAGACTTGCACAGCTTCCTACAATGGTTTCTATTCTTAGTGTCTATTATATAATCACTGGCACTGATTCGTCTGCGCCGTCCAGTCATCAAGAAGACTAGAAACAGACGCCTCTAGCTTCTTAGCCTGAGGACCGGGCTTCAGAATATCGACATCGCCCCACTGGGAACACGGATCCACCCACCAGCTTCTCTGTCCTGAGCACCATGCCCCTGGGGCGGCTCGATTCCGACCGCGTCTGAGAATTCTTTTGTCTATCAAATCCAGCACGGGGTTATTGGCCTCAAACTGTCTTGCAAAAGCTGCTCCGCTTTCTGCCATCATGTCATAAACAGATGTATTAAGGAAGAGAGGTTCCATCTTCGGAGGATTATCCCATATCATGTATCGTAAGTCGCCGTTCACTGTCGTATTCTTAAATTCCGGTGCGTTGCAAACAACCGAGTGAAAGTAGCCTTCTTGAGATAACTTGACATTTGTAAAATACATCAGTAGCGTTCGTGGTAAATTATCCCAACCAACAATGCAGAATTCTAGAAAAGGTCGGCTCAAGGTGACCCACGGTGAACCTGCATCGCGTGATAAACATTCAATACTAAAAAAATGATAGGCATAGATGTGTTGCACAGACAGTATGGGAAAGCAGATTTACCAGTGAAGAGTTTGAACGCATCGGGTGTTGTCCTCTTCTCCGTAGCTTGAAAAATTTGACTTCTCCTAGCTAAATAAGTTCCCGGGTCAACAACAATAGGTTGGAATCTGTCACTCCTGCACATTGAATAAATAAATAACCTAGGAGCCGAGAAATAAACGCCACAAAGTAGCAGTTAGATTTAGCAATGGTTTTCATACTCTTTCCATCCAAGGTCACTGGTGTGATCAATGAAATTGAGGTCTCTACTTACGGAGGAGAATACGTGGGATAGATCTGATAAAGAAGACAAGCACAACAAACATTAGAAAGAAAGGTCTTCATCAGAAAGTAGACAATCATCCAACTGAGATTTGTGAATATGGAAGAGACGTATGATTATAAGGATCTTACAACAAGCACAATTCAGCGATAAATTTCAGAATGACATGAGAACTAAGCATTTCCCCACCCATAAATTATAAAACAAAGTGTGCAAATGTTCTTGTACTACCAATATTATTTTTGCTATTCACTAGCATTGTAAATTATCAATTCATTAGCTATTAAGAACACTCGCAGGAAATCATATGCAATCGTAAGAAAGTTTTGGTCTCTTATTAGATGCTAGCAATCATATGATACTCAGTCATTTAAGGCATGAATAACATCCCCAATTCATAACCAACCAACTCCAGTTGGAAATTAGAATGTGATTACAGAGAAATTTGTTAAGCATGCAAGGGACAAATCAGCTTTGATGCATGAAATGCATTTTACGAATTGGGCTAATCTTAACAAGGGTAGACAAATTTACATGCATAACATGCTCTAAAATATTCAATAAGCAAATCTCATGGAAATTTTAGTTCGTTTCTTCAATATAGAGGAATGGTTTAATGAATCTACACCTCAGAATATGTTTTTTCTAAAAGATAAAAGGATATGCATTGTCAGTGTTATAATTGTTTGACACTGACTACCAATCACAACTCGCCAAGACACCACGCAATTACATAACTTCTTTTATTTAAAGAATTGTAAATTACGTTGTGGTAAATTGAAAGGTTGTAATTGGTTGCCAATGTAAAATAACTTTATACCGACAGTTCCCATCTCTTAATCTTCAAATAAAAACAATGCATTCTTTCTCGTGCCGCAGCCAGTGGCCAGCATAGAGACACAGCCTTTTTACCATTTTCACACACTCCTCTTAACTATTGTCTTAGCTTCACCTCGTGGCTTTGGAGCAAGCTTAATTCTAAGGTATGATGTTTCCAAGTAATAATGCATATCAAATTTCCTAATACAATCGAACCTGATCGAGAAAACGATAAATACAAGGAACATAAACCAAAACAGAAACAAAGCTCCTAAACAATGGCGAAAACTTTCCCACGAATACAAAGCTATTTAACATCAAATTGTCAAGCTCATTAGTTTAAACACAACATGTTAAAATTCCGAATTCACACCACACGCAAACATCATGAAACAAAACCAAAATTCACATACCATCCTGTGTAATAAGAGGATAATCACGTGCACTCAAAGTGATAAACCAACTCCACCCGCTATCCAACTTAAGCATAATAGCAGCAGCACGTAGAGTGATAGCAACATTAGAAGATCCCAAGTAAGTAATCCAATCAGCCTTCCCAACAACATCAACATTCCCGAAAGCCCGAATCGCGGGAACCGAACTAACATCATCAGCCAAACCCTGTCTCTCTTCTTGCCTAGCATCCATTCCAAGATGAAGCAAGTAACGGTTCCTCGGATGGTAAATTGCCAACAACAAACGAAAGATCCGGTCTTTATCACCATGCCCACCAGAGATAAAGTAAGCAAAAGCAGGAGGGTAATGAGAACCATGTTGAACAATAGAAGGAAAAGGCTTTTGAGAACTGAAGGTAGAAAAGGAAGACATTAACAGTATCATCAGAGATAAAACCGCTGCAGTGAATAGCGTGAAAAGCCATTTTTTCTCAGCTCCCATAACTGCTTTTGGGGCATATGAAATAACGAAAGCAACGATTTTGAGAACTGGGTTTGGTTAAAGTTTGGATTTTGAAACTCTTTGCGTTAATGGGTCGTTGAAGATCGGAGTAATAGATAAAAACATTATAAAAAAAAAGTGGAAAATTGAAAACCCAGATCAGAATTTCCAAAATCTTGTTCTAGAATCGTTGATTCTAACTGATTCAAGGTTCAATTTTTGAGGAATGAAAAGAGGATTAGGGTTTTTTGAACAGGTTAGATTGGTTGTTGAGAGTTACAGAAGAAGATGGAGATCACGGATTTGTATTTTGATTTTCTTTCTTATGTGATGTTCTCACATCATTCATTGAAGTCAATTTTTTCAGGTTCATTTTTTTAGAAAACCAACAAAAAAATATTAAATTAAAGTATAAAAATTGAAAGATTCTTGCATAGCCTAGAAGTAATGAAATATGGGCAAATGGAGAAAAAAAACTGCAGAGATATAAACATCCTTTAGCAATAAGTACTAAAAATCTTATACAAATTCTTAAATGATTTACTATTTAATTTTAAATAGTTTTCTATAAAGAGTGTATTAGTCTATAAAAATTATTTACATTGTCATCCATCATATTTTTTTTCTTTATTTAAATTTTAAAAGTCAACATTAAATACAGTATATTTAAGAAGTTATTTAATAATAGTCTTACATTGTTTATACATATTAATTATACTAATTTTTTTTTAATATATAATAGTATTTTAGGCAATTCAAACATTTCGGTTGAAAAATAGAATAATTTGCATTTTTATTTTATTTTAAAGAGATAAATTTGTAAATTTTGAAAAAATTAGGATTCTATCTGTATCTTTTGAAAAAAAAAAAGATCGGAAAACCATGGAGACTAATTTACAAAGTTAAAGAAAAGAACAACTTGACATTAACATAGAGTAATAAATTTCTTATTTTTAAATGTTCTGCAAAATTCTTTAATTTCAATTTAGGTAAAACGGGTCCATTTATTTTAACTGGAAAAAATTATTTTTGTGAAAAAAAAAACTTAAAATAGTAACAGTTATTTTAAACGCATTTTTTATAAACTAAAAGTCTAATATTAAAATTTAATACATTATTGAAAAATAAAATATAGTTAAAACTACTAACTTAAAAAATATATACATTTCAAAAAATAATTTTTATCAAAATTTATTCAATATAACTTCAGTTTTAAAGTTACTTTTAAAGTTTTGATGTATACAAATTATAATAAAATGATAAAATATCTAATTAATACTTTTTTTTAAAATTGCAAATTTTTATAAAAATGTAAAATTATTTTTAAAAAGAGCTGAAATAATAAAATTTAAAATTTACATAGACTATATTTTAATTAATGAAATAAAATATAATGAAATAGACTAAATTACAATTTTAGTCTCTGTACTTTACTTTGCTCACGAAATAAATCTCTATATTTTATTTTTAAACAGTTTTGATCTCCATTCTCAATCAACTATTCGACTACCATTTAAACAAACTATCACTGTTATTAATATGCACTTCCCCTTTTAAAAAAATTCTTGCAATTTTGGACAATTCGGTCATTATATAATAAACCTGTTTTTATTAGCATCCTTATTCCCTTTGCTGCCACATGTGAATACATAACAATCTAAATCACTCCTTTATCAAAAGATTTTTTCTCCTATCTAGCTCATTACATACCAACTTCTATAAAAAAAAATAAAAAATTCTTTCCTTTGTCACTTCCACCAAACCTTCTTTTGATTCACTTCATTGGACATTTCTCTCTCCGTCTTCCTCCGTTTTGAAGTATTTTCCATATTTGCAACTTTCCGTTCTAACACTAAAAGGATATGTCAAGGTAAGTGTTTCTTTCACCTACCTGATCTCATGATTGTTTAACCTTATCTTATATTTTATTTATTTCATCTTTCATCTATTTTAGCTTAGTAATAGTTTTACATTTGCCTAAAGCATTTGTTTCATGTTGTGTTTCATATGTTATTTCTACCATGATTCTTTAAACTATTTGTAAATTGTGCTTTTGGTTACCGATTTGCTATGTTACACGTGCTTTGCGATCTGAGCATTAATGTTTTCATTGTAGGTTTCTTTGAACATGTTTGTTTGTATGTTCGTTTTTGTTCGTTTAACCTACCGTATCTCATGATTGCTTAACCTTATCTTATATTTTCTTTGTTTTATCTTTCCTCTATTTCAGCTTTGTAATAGTTTTAAGTTTGCATAAAGCATTTGTTTCATGTTGTATTTCATATGTTATTTTTACCATGATTCTTTAAATTATATGTTACACGTGCTTTGCGGTCTGAGCTTTTCGGTATGTGCTATTTGTCTGAGCATTAATGTTTTCATTGTAGGTTTCTTTGAGGTTTGATATGGTTATTACTCTCAGTCACGAACCTCATATGTTTTCATCTTTTATTTTGCCGACCCGTTTACCAATTTTCAACATAACTTTGTGTGTTAAGTTTACTTCACCTCTATTTAACTATGTCATTTGTAAATCATTTAGATGTCTAGGCCCCAAAATTTCATCAAGGATTTGCATACCGGAAATCATGATGGAAGATGGAAATATGTGTTATTGATCTCTGGACTGTCACAGAAAATAGTGGATAGTTACATCTGGAAATGGTTATTCAAGATGTTATGGTAACGATTATATTTATATGTACCTTTGTGGCTAACATTGTTGCTTTTGTACTGTTTTTCATAATTCACATTTGTTTAATATAACAAGGGAGAGCAAATTTGTGTCATTGCACGCCATAGAGAATACAAACTTTGGATGGACAAGATTAATAAACACAAAATGTATACTTTGTACAATGGCCAACCTATAAACAATGACACCCCTCCAAAAGTTTGTGATAACAAACTCAAACTGCTTTTCAACAGTGCAACTACCATTACGCAAGTTGATTTCCTTGAAATTATGTGTCACTAGTCCAAATTCAAGTCTATACTTGACATTCTGAATGGAAAATTATCTCATGGTTGCTTATATGGTATTCACACATTGGCTCTCATACTACAACAAAACATGTTTCACTTATTTTTCGGTCTGATTTCGTGTTTTTCATTTTATTTCAATGTAGATGTGATAGGATGCTTACATGAAGTTATTAGAACACAAAGGATGTGAATGGAAAGAAGATTGTTGCAAACATTATTCTAAGTGATGCAAAAGGAAATACGATTGATTATATTATATGGGATGATTATGGTTGTCAACTCTCATACCCTAAATTTGTCCTACCTTTCTCAGCATTCTCAAAAAAACATATGGCATGTGGTCATGATTTTCTGATTTAGGTCACAGGATATTGTGTGCGTGCTTATTATAACTAATCAGCTTGTGCGTGTGCATTAATTTCAAATGGAGATGGTATTTGTTCTCTCAATCAAGTACTTCAGGATGTGACTAACTGGTTCTTTCACGAAACGGTCTCGGATTTAAATCTCACATATCCCTTTAAATCTCGGATTTAGTGCATTTCTTTCTTTATTTCTAACATTATCATTTTTCTATTTTTCTCACTTTTATGTATGCTATTATTATTATTATTATTATTATTATTATTATTATTATTATTATTATTATTATTATTATTATTATTATTATTATTAAATTTTTAGATTATCACAATTATTAATTTCTAAAAATATATATATATAAAAAGATGCATTTATTTTTTAATTAGACATTTTTCAAAATCATTTCTTTGTAATTTTTATAAATAAATAAAAAACTCTCTTTCATAAGTTATTTATTAGAAAAGAAATTGATATTGTTACTATATTCTTATTAAAAAAAACTGTCATTATGAAATAAAATATATATGTGTAAAATTAAAATTTTGTCATTAGGTATTATTATATAAAAATGGAAAATTAAAATTTTTGTTAATTATAATTAAATTAATAAGTTAGATAACTGCATATGATATTATTATTATTAATTAGAAAATAAATTTTATTATTTGGTATTGTTAATATTAAGTAGTGATCCAAGTTATTCTGAACTGCCTAAATAGCTAGGCATAACCAAATTCACTTCTACTCTCAGAACGTTCCAATAGCCTAAGCCCTTGCCAATTAAGGGCAAAGGGAATCATTCTCTTCTCTCTCCCTCTTCTGAGGAAGGCTGACTAGCTGACCTTCAGGATCAGTTGCCCCTCGTCACATTTCTCCCCGTCACGCACGGTTCCATCATCCAGAAACAGTCACGACGCCCTTGCCCGCGGTAACGGCTAGTTCCGAGCACCTCTGTTCGTTTCAATGGCTAGTTTCTGGCAGTTACCTATTCTTTGGGAATGAATATCTTGCCCCGAAAATAAGGACCAATGGCCAAATACTGGGAGCATTATAAAAGCTTTCTCATTTGAGAGGGTCGGGTATTATAAATCATCACAAGACATACTCACTTTGTACTTGCCTTCTATTCTCCCGATTCTTACTTTAGCATCAGAGTGCCTTGTAGGTATACCCCCTCCTCATCTTTGAAATTCAGCATCGCAGACGAAGTTTCTGGCCCACTTCAGGTTCTGATCAGCCGGTAAGATCAGTGGCGCCGCCTGTGGGAAACTATGTTCTCCCCATCTTTCTTTCCTCGTAAATCCAAGACCAAAGTAGTTCTTTCAAGATTCTGATCATGGCCAGCCATGAAAATATCCTCGATGCTCGCAACGCCATCCTCCACGTCAGCAAGACAGACGGTGACGGAGCAACCACATTTCTTGAGAGCAACGTCCTTCAGTAGAGAGATGAAACCACCGTGTCTCCTCCCCCCGATCATGTTGACAACGTTAGGATCTAGCCATCCGACGACCATCAACACGTCCCAGTTTCTCCCAACGCCGATCCGGCCATGGCGGCCCTACTCGAGGCCCTCAACAAGACAAACATTCTGATCCTCTAACAGAACGCAAGAATTGGAGCCTTAGAAGAGTCTCTTCGACTAAGATCTC